CTTAAGTAAAAGAATGTGAATCAAAACTGCAATGTCTTTGTCTGAATTGTAACCTAGATAACTGCTTTTCCACCTCCAGTACCCTACTAGGAAAGGTGTGTTAGAGGGGTATGTGATATCCATTGACAGTTATGAGTAAATGAGGCTCTACCTGCCATCTAAGCACCTTGCATAACCCTCCACATTGTGGGGAGGGGGGAAACACAATGATCAGGCAGCTGGTATCTCCATTTCCTTATATTCAGCTTTGTTACACACATTAGCTCCATATCAGAATAAAGCAAGTGCATTAAAATGGAGATATTGAGTAATTTCAACGAAGACTGTGATATTTCTGGAGCTTGAACAAAGTGATATTAAGACATAAACTTAGCCTAAAAAAGGTGTGATTGTAGAACTCAGGAACAACAAATTTTACTACAATTACAATCACAACTACAACTACTACTCATTAAGTTCTTTGAAATCTGTGCTTGAAATTTGCCATCATGAAGGAAAAATAAGAAACCTCAAATGTTTCAAATTACTCTTGTGTGGGAATTCCCGATTTTCCATGTGTTTCCAGTAAGGTTTGATTTCAAGATAATTTCTGGAAAATATAGGAAAAAAAGAATTTGGGTAACTCATAAAAGCAAGTAATATGTGCATAATTGTGTGAGAAAAGCTAAAACAACATTTCACAGCTGGTCAGCATAAAAAATGACTTGTCGGTTTTACTTTACAGATAACACCTGTATATTTTAAATAATACATATGCACATTATTCATTTGAAGACTTTTTTTACAGTATAAAGTTTCTGTGTATAGGAAATATAAAGATCTAGCTTTTATAAGAATTTATTTTTATGATATTAAATAAAACTGATTCCAAAGCATATATTATCCATCACAATAGATAGATGGTCATAATTTGTCCTATTCAGATAGCAGAGAAAATGATTTTGAATTTTATCAGGCATGCTGGAAACTTCTTTGTGGGGGGGGGGGGACCTTGACATTTCAGATCTCAAGAAAGTTTTCTTTGCAAGGGAGGGGGAACAATTGGTCTAATCCCTTTTTCTGGTGTCTAAGCTTTGATCAAAACTTCATATTCACACATCAATGCAGCCTAGAGGGGACCCTAAGTTAGGGTGGGTGCTTGGGCATGACTATGCATGCTAATATGTGTTGTGTGTGCTAATGTGCATGAGATTGTGTGTGTGCACTGGTGCATTAAGATGAATGTTCTGCCACTGTGGAGTAAAGGAAGGTTTGGGAAAAGGAGGGAAGAATTGTAGAGGAGCAGTTTCACCCTCTAAAAACTTGGGACTAAATAGTAAATATACTCCTTCCCCTGCACCAAAATGTAACCTTTGGTTTTGAAGCAAAGTCTTCTGAGAACTAGAATTTGCAAAACAAAGAGACACAATGGGAAAAGGTTCACCTAGAGTCTTCAAAGCATGCATAAGTGGCCAGGATCAATAGTGGAGTCTTTCCACTTCATGCTAACCATGCATCCTGCTACCAGGGAGAGAGCACCAAGAGGACTCTCAATGCAGCAAGGCATGGGTAGGAGTCTTGATGTAAGAAAGGAGAACAGAGTTGGGAACTGTGATTCTTCTGCATGGGAGGTAAGGTGCAGGTGTTTGGCTGGCAGGGAATATTTTACTGTCAGATATTTCCTCACTCTTACCATTAAAACCATAGTTTGAGGTGGGGATGAGGAAATGACACTTTAGCAAATGGAAATTTGAGAAAATACTACATTCAAGAACATAGAAATCCTATGGAGCGATACTGGAAATACAGAGCTCAGAGCACCTGCAGGTAGGGTGGTGGTGGTTGTTGTTGCATCTTATCCCCTCTATATTTGTGTTTTCCTGTTTGGATTCCAAGAATTTGTTGATTCATTTGGCTCCATCTCTAAACTGTGAGTGCCTTACAAACATTCATTTTGGCTTATTCATCTTCACAAGACCCTGGAAAACCTCACAAAGCCCCCTACCCCTTGGTTTTTAAGAGATGGGATAGATTAAGCAACAAACTAGAGTTAGAGGATTTAATTTTCCTAAAATTTTGCTACAGGTTAGTCACTTTGACCTCTAGGTCTCAGTTTCTTCCTGGTAAATGAAAGTTGCCTTAGAGGATCTCTATGATGATTTCCAACTTAGCATCATGATGGAATAGAAAGCTTTTTTTTTTTTCCTTTTAGGAAATGTAAAAGTTATGTATCAGTTGAATTTGTGATCATATCTATAAATACAGTGAAGATTTCTCCTTAAATATGCACTAATAAAGCTGTTATTTAGGATAATAAGATAATGAAGTAGAAATCAGCCCACCTAAACATAATGGCCAGTATATTGTCTTCCTATGATTAAACACTTCAACTACTTTCATCAGGTGCAGATTACTTCCTTGAACTAACATTATTTTTCTAGAACATAGCTGTTCATTCTAATCCACTAAAGTAATTTTTTCACATATGACCAAATGAACTTTCTAAAGTGTTAGAAATTTTATCAGGCATGCAGGAAACTATAAAGTCACTTATACATGGGGGAAAAAAACTTACTTCCAAGAAGAATTGTTCTGTATGAGTAGGAATTTATTCATTCTATTCAAAAGCTCTGTTAGTTTCTTTCCTTGTGATATGTGGTTCTAATAAATATTCAGCACTTGATATTGATATTTGGAATTTTGTTTCTAAGTGTTCTTCAGTGTACTCATAAATGACTGGATAATCTATCTGAATATAAATGTTATTTAAAAAAAATAAAGGCATAAAATTTGTGTGAGAAGCTCAGCACCTTCAAAAGAGACAAGCTTTTATAAGAAGAAAATTCAGTTGGAATTTCCTTAAATTCTAAATAAGAAATATTTTGTGGATGAAAAGAATTATAATTAATACATTTGAACCACTGTCATCTTGAAATACCTATCAAAATGATCCACTGAGATTAACAATGATGAAATGGTTGCATTTACTGAATGGAGATTGCTTTATAAATGGTGTTTAATGACAAATGCTGGATTATTTCAATAAAACTGGTTAAGAAAATTAAGTTTGCTATTTGTAGGAACAATGTACTGATCGCTGGAGTAAAAATTGTGAGCTTAGTGCTGAAGGCAATTGGTGGAAAATTGGAGATTGCTGGAACCTAGATTCTCTTCCTTTATATTCTGACTCATCAGCCTGGTAGTATGGGCCTTGGACAACTGACCACTGAGAGACTGAGGGGGTTGGAAATTCACAGGCCTTCAACAAGAGCAACTTCCTTGCAGGTTCTGATGAATTTCAGAATCCATCAGCAGCTATTGAATATTCCTGGGACTTGGAAGGTCACTTAATTTATGAGTGAGGATCAGATGTCAGAACACATTTTACTTGCCTCCCAGATGATGACAGATGGTGTTCCAGTCAGAGGGACCATCATTACTGGACATTTCCAGAAGTCCTCCAGAGGTTTATTGGTACTTTGAGGACCTCCAGCCAGTCCTGGACTTTCATGGTTCCCTCCCTAAGAAGCAATCATCAGCTTGGGGGCCACTGAGGCATCTCAGCTACCCTTGTCATCATCAGAGTTTTAAAAAATGGAAATGTGCTAATTATACCAGATTCATTTTTTACTGATGTGGTCATGGATTAGCCTGAAGAACATTGGTAGGGGAGGTCTTCCTGCTGCTACAGTAGATCGTCTAGTCATTATGTCGGAAATCCCTAGGACTTTCCTTCTACCTTTTTAGAATTGATAATTAGAGGAAACAAAGAGGACAGAGGAAAAGACCAACGGTGTGTAAATGCCACCCGCTTACTAATAAGCACCAATCCTCTTTCTCTACAAAGTATTCTTTTTTCTCCTAAAAGGAATTTCAGAAAAGACTAGTAGTTTAAGGCCTGTGACAATGAGTGCTTATTTTCTGTGATTGAACATATGGACATTTATCATTTTAATTATCTTTTAAGCAGGAATAAAAAGAGAAGGTGAGAATACAAAATTTACAAATCTTCTGGGGGGGGGGCGGAATTGAGGAGAATTCATTTCAGTAGCTAACTATTTCCCTCCTTGCCTTTCTAAAGCAAGGGCGTTCCAGTGGCTGGGATTAAGTGACAGATTGTGGGCACTGACTAGAGGCGCGCTGGAGAAAGCGGGGAGCCCATCCTTTGCACACAAAGCCGCGGAGTTCCCATGCCGCAGGCGGCCCTGCCCTGGGGCACCGTCGCGCTCCAAGCTCAGTGACCCGCCAGGAAGCGCCCGCGACTGCTCTCGGCAACCCTGACGCGCTGCTGGGTGGCTGGGAGAAGTTAGTCACCCCGCGACCGAACCGAGCTAGCGTCGGAGCTCGAATAGGCTAGGGAAGGAGGAGGCAGGAAACCAGTACCCCCGGACAGCTGGAAGGAAGCGAAGGAGCGCGGGGGCGAGGGATCGCTTGGGAAGCAAAGAGCCCTGGCTGGTGGATGGTGTGGTACCGTCTGCAAAGCCGGAGCGCACCGGCCTGCAAAGGGGGAAAACTTGCGGCAGAAACTTCCTACCCAAAGCAAGAAAGGCAAGCGAGAAAGAGGCAGGGAGAGACTTGAAATGTCTCAATAACTTTAAAAACACCCCAAAACATCCCTCCAGAAGATGAGGTAAGCCGAGGCTAACCAACCCCTCTTGGTTGTGAAATACCAGACCGACCCGGAGTCGCTGTGACTTTAAATGAGACCAAGTAAATTTTATGTTTTTCTTCCCAAATACCCCCACCCCCCACCCCGCCCGCCCGCCCTTGCTCCCTCCTTTGTCCCTCCTTCCTCTCCTTCAGGTCCCGGTCCCTTCCTCCTTCTTGTCTCCCTTTCCTCGATCACCCTCCCTCGCCCTAGCTCTCTCCCTCCCCCATCTGATTAGGCGCAGACGGGGAAGGGTGGGAGTGGTGGGGGAAGCTCTCCCTTTAAGAGGCAGCGTGCAGTGACGAATTGTTGAAATTGCCATTGCAGGATGGCATGCCGCTATAAATTCATTGTTCCACCTCCTCGCATCTTCACAGCGCTCGCGCTGCTCTCCGCGCTCTCTACGGCCGACTGGGGATGACGGCGGGCAGGAAGACACCGCAGCCAAAGGGACTCGGACGCGCTGCTTCACCGGCTCTCCTCAGTCTGCCCCCCACATTTTTGTTTTGATTTTTATGGCTTTTTTCCGTCTCTTTCTTCCCTTCCTCCCGGTTTCAGGAGAGCCGAGGAAACCCTCAAAATAAGAAAGGAAGTGGCCCCGAAGCTTGGAAGCTCCGCAGCCAGCCGGTCCGGAGCAGCCAGGGGGCGGGAGGGGGTGCGCACCAGTTGCCCGCTTGATGCGCGATACCTTTTTTTACTTTTCTTGGTGCAACGACCTTGGCTACATTTGGGTTTTCCTCCCTTCCCCGTATTGGCTGAATCTCCACTACCTAGCTTTTTAATTTTATTTCATTTTTTCCCCTTTCTTTTTCTTTACTCCCCTCTTTCCGGAGCACAAATCCAAACATTTTCCAAACCAACAAAGAAAAGTTAGCACGCTGGCACCGCGGCTCGGACAGGCTGGCGCTGCTTCTGGTCCCCCTGCCTCCGACACTTGACTCAACCTTGCAAGCAAGTGTGTGTGTGTGTCCCCATCCCCCCGCCCCGGTAACTTCCCTGGCGAATAACAAATACCCATAAAGTCCCTGTCGCGCAGCCCCTCCCCGCGGGCAGCGCACTATGCGGCTCGGGTGGGCGTCCCTGCTGCTGTGCGCGTTCCGCCTGTCCCTGGCTGCGGCCAGCCGGGCTGAGGCACCTGCCCAGGATAAAGCCCAGCAGTCTCCGGTTGCTGCAGCGGCAGCCCAGCCCCGCGAGCGGCAGGGGGAGGAGGCGCAGGAGCGGTTCGAGCCTCTGGGCCATCCATACCCCCTGGCGCTGCAGCGCAGGAGCAGCGGGCTTGTGCAGAACATCGACCAACTCTACTCCGGCGGCGGAAAGGTGGGCTACCTCGTTTATGGGGGCGGCCGAAGATTTCTCCTGGACTTGGAGAGGGATGGTTCGGTGGGCACTTCTGGCTTCGTGCCCGCAGGAGGCGGGCTAAGCGCACCTCGGCGCCACCGTAGCCACTGCTTTTACAGGGGCACCGTGGACGGCAGTCCTCGCTCCCTGGCTGTTTTTGACCTGTGTGGGGGTCTTGACGGCTTCTTCGCGGTCAAGCACGCGCGCTACACCTTAAAGCCTCTACTGCGGGGACCATGGCCTGAGGGAGAAACCGGGCGCGTGTACGGGGATGGGTCAGCACGGGTCCTTCACGTCTACACCCGTGAAGGTTTCAGCTTCGAAGCCCTGCCGCCACGCGCCAGCTGTGAGACCCCAGCGTCCCGGCCGGGCGTCCACCAGCGCCTCCAGCTTCGTAGTAGTCCAGACCGACACACTGCGCTGGCCTCGAAGCTCAGGGACCAGTCCGCTCTCTTGCCTGTGGGGGACCCAGGACCTCAGACCTGGTGGCGGCGTAGGCGCCGCTCCATCTCCCGGGCCCGCCAGGTGGAGCTGCTCCTGGTGGCGGATGCGTCTATGGCGCGGATGTATGGCCGGGGCCTGCAGCATTACCTGCTGACCCTGGCCTCAATTGCCAACAGACTGTACAGCCATGCCAGCATCGAGAACCACATCCGCCTGGTGGTGGTGAAGGTGGTGGTGCTGGGAGACAAGGACAAGAGCTTGGAAGTGAGCAAGAACGCAGCCACCACACTCAAGAACTTTTGCAAATGGCAGCACCAGCACAACCAGCTGGAAGATGACCACGAGGAGCACTATGATGCGGCCATCCTGTTCACCAGGGAGGTAGGTCCAGCTGGGGTGGGTGCACCTGGCGCTGAGATAAGGAGGTAGGTGGAAGGGACAGTCTTGCTGATGGCTTTGTTTCTCCTACAAACCATCTGACACTATGGACTTGCTTAACCGCATCTTGCAGAAAACCCAGGCTGCGAGCTATGCTCCTGTGTTCAGATTAGCCTCCGCAGCAATTCTTGCCTTAGTGACTAGACCTGCTTAGGCAATCAATAATGCTCTGTGTCATCCAGTCTGAGATATATTAATACAGGGCCACAAACACGGTAAAGAGAACTAGAATGCTTCAGAAACTGTACATAGTTAAATGGGAAAGGGGGGGAAAGCAAGATTTCTTTTGGAATCATCAATCTTTTGCTTTCCAGTGAAAGCAAACAAATAACTTTGACTAACCTAATGGAAAGGGCTTGTTAGTTCATCCAGATAGTTCATCTGATACTATTCCTTTGCAAATGTCCCTTACTAGTTGAGCTCCTTGTGCAACACAAGTGAAGGAAAGATTTTCCTAAGGACCCCCTTTCCAATCTGGCTTCCTAATGGAATCCTTACTGTCTTAGTTCCTGGGAAGGAAAAAATGTAGGAGGGCCAAAAGGACACAGAAGCCCAATCAGCTGACAGGACAAACTTGTGAGGTTGCTTAACAAGTTCTTTGCTTAGTAGACCAGTAAATCACAAGCACAGTCCTTGCCAACTCAGCGGCCAAGGAAGGGTCACATCCAATTTGCAGGTTTGGGTTTTGGAAGAATGTTTCTGAAGCTCCAGTGCAAAAGATCTAGGCAAAGAGTCAAGGCCTGGGGAAAGAGTATTTTCCCAGGATTTCCCCCATTTTAAGGATGACTTTACAGGAAACAAATGGATCTTTATAAGCCCAGAGGCTCTAGGAGGAACACAATATCTGTTTACATGGTTATTAGACCACCACCTTGGTATGACATTAACAGAAAGTCTGGATTAGATTGGGGTCTGGGCTGCTCATAGTTTTGAGCCTCAGTTTTCACAGTTCTGTTTTGACTGGCAGCTTTCTGGATTCTCAAATAACTGGTAAGAATTGACCTTTAAAGTTCATTCTTGAAGTGTTTGAGACTCACCCAGAATAAATGAAGAATTACAAACTTTGAAGTATTATCTAAAATCACGAAATGGAATAAACAAAGGATAAGAAATTAAATGATGCAGGAGGCTTCAGAATCATGCCTTCACTACCCAATTCTTCTATTTTCACTAAGTCACCCATGGTATGAAGGAAAAGTGTTGATAAATTTGGAGTGGTACATGTGGTTCATGGGTGGACATAATGTAAACCACATGTAAACAAAGACATTGAAGGGCAGCACTTTAGAGAGAAACAGGCAGAGCACCCGTGTGGTGCACAATGGAAAATCTTTCTCCTCATTAAGTGATATTCTGGAATCCATCCTTTAATTCCTGTGCACAACATAGGTCTTTGAAACGGTAGAACATTCATTTTGTAGCCGCCCCTATGAAGTTCTCCTGTAAAACTATCCCTTTCTTATTTAGTTTCCAAGTCCCCCCTCCCAACCTTTTTTTTTTTTTTTTTTTTTTTTCATAAGTAACTTTCCATGTCTGGGTTTCCTTGCTTTGCTACATCACAAGAGACTGCCAAGCAGGAAGCTTGGCTAGTTTATGGAAGGAGGCTCCCTAAAGAAATAGGAAAAAAAAAAATCTTTTGTAGGCATACTGCTCTGAAGAGTAGGTCATTTTAATAATTCATCTTTACTACTAATGTATATTCTAGAATTCTAATATAAGTCAAAATTGATAGAAGGCCCATCACTCCTTGCCCTCTGACCCATAATTTTCTTAATGTTTCCCAGGGGAAAAAAAAACAAACTAGGCAGTGATTGTATATGATGTCTATCTTGCTTTTTCTGGATTTGTTTTTTTTTTTTTTTTTGCTTGGATAGTTAATTCTGTGAAACGCATCCAAACCTTTTAAATGGATGAAAGCAAGGAAGAAATAAATTGACTAGCTATCTTAATTTTAATAAGTACTGTAATAACATACTGTTTTCAAACTGCTTCACACATGAGAAGTATTTGACATGGGTCCTCCCTGGCCTCTTTGCCAAGCAGAAGCATACTTTAAGGAAAGAAAATCTCACTGAGTTTCCAGTTGGCCTTCTAGTCTACCCATTGGAATTCACAAAAACCAGTAGTTTGAAAAGTCAAGTTACAACTAGGTATTATGAATATATGCAGCTAATTTTAAAAGAGTGTTATTAGGTGGCTGAGACAAGTATTTCAAGACCTCTATGCAGTATTCACTTGCGAATATTCCAAATATAGAGTTGATTTTTGCCTCATTCTTCAGAGAGTAAAAAACAGAAAAGGCTGGAAGAGAGATGATCTTGGTTAATCTATCTCATGGAAATCAGATATCTTAAGGCCTTAAGAAAATCTTTCTCCCCTATATCTATTTCAATGAGAAATACACAGAGTTGGCTGCAGGCTTCTACTTTTACAACTCTGTTTTGAATGTAAGAAGTGTGTTGCTTAGCAGCCAGATGCCAAGCCATCAAATCCGTGTTTTGATGGGCTCTGAGTCCAGCTCAAATTTTGTCTCCAGATGTCTTCTTCTAAATTACTTGTTTTTCAGGCATGAAGCAAATGTGTGAGGATATGTTTTCCACTGTATTTACTAGCTGAGGCCACCTTGAACGTTGTATCTGGAAGTCAGCAGAATAGTGTCCATAATTTATCTATCAAACTAATACATTTGCTATCATATCTATACTCCAGCATTTCAATACTGCTATAATTAGAGAAACTTAGCACCCGCCAATTTTCTGGCGCAGAAGCCATTTTCATTGTGGAATGGCACTTATGCTGGATTTCACATTACTTCTGCAGTGGAACAGTTGAAATCCAACCTCCCCAGTCTTTATTTTTGCAAGAATCTTTTCTTGTTCCTAACTTCCTCTTTTATTTTAAAGTAATTTATTTAAATATTTAAAGACAAAGTCTTAAACCCATTTTGTAGACAATACACTCTTTTCTAGAAACAAAAGTCTCTCCAATTGATGACAAAATTGGCGGTTTTTAAAAATCCCACTGACAATTGTGTACCACCAGTGAAAGCTATACCCTGCCATGATTGAAAATATGGAATTGAAACTAAACCAGCTAAGAGATGTGCCATATAAAAAGTTCATTCACTGTCATTAATTATCAGTGTGCACTTTAATACGCTATTGTCCCTGGCTCAAAACTCTCTTCTCCTATTCTGCTTTAGCTTAGGATGCTGGAACTGGAATTTAGACATGTTTCTCCTTTACCACTTCTCAGGTTCTGACAATAGGGGGTGCTAAAGAGAGACCAGAATCTTGAAAGAGTGAGAGGGATGTTTTTTCTCTTTTCGTCCTGCTGACTAGACCATCTGACTCAGTGTCTTATTTGAATTCAAGTCCATTTAAAGAAAATAAAGGAGTCCTTATCAGTAAATCATAGCTTATAGTCAATCTTAACTAATAAAAGGCTAAATAACCCTGAAATGGGCAGACTAGTAGCAGATTAAGCAGCTTTAATTAGTATTATTAATATATGACAAATATTGTGAAAAGTCTAAAGTCTATTAGAGACAAGATCTCACAACACACAGGAGATATTGCCTTTCTGTGTTTCTTACTTTGGCATGTGCCTGTGTGTACCTTCCACGTGTAACACACTCACTAGGCAGTGTGGTAGATGCAGGATAGAAAACACCTGGTCCCTGCCTCCTGGGCTTATCACTAGCTGAGAGGATGCAGGCATGTGCATAAATCAGTCCAGTGTTAGGAAAACTGATAAATGCAGTACTAAGCTAAATGCAAAGTCTATGAGAGAAAAAGTGAGAGCACTGTGAATTCTGCCTGTGGATTTTTATGCAGGTCTTATTGTACATGTAGAATTGAATTGGTTTTCAAAAGATGGATAAACTTGACTTAGATTCAACCACCTGTAATCAAGCCCTTTATAGGTACTACCCAGGGGTATAAGCCACATGATCATTAATCTTTCAGCAATCTACAACCACTGTGTCATTCTTTTGGTTTGACAGATAAGGACACTCATGTACAGAGAAACAGATAATCTTAGAGCAACAGCTGACAAATGACACAGAAAGAAGATAGTGCTCTCTAAACTAAAAATATTATCACTAATTTATTCAAACATTCAATATGTTCTTTCTAGGCAGGGATTCTGAGATTTAAAAAGTGGCCACTTTCTTTAGAATCTATTTCAGGAAACAGTGAAGTGGATAATTTTGGTGGAGCATGATGACTTTTATGGTAGATATGGTTGTAGGGCATCGGGAAGTGTTGCCGACCACATTTCAGTTCAGGTTTGAAGAAAAGGTAGGCATTAGCCAGGCTCATAAGGAGGAGTTAGGCATTGAGAACACAGTGGACCTTCATGTTCCATGGCTTAGAAGAATTGTGATAATTCTGCAAAATTCAGGGAGTTATCTGTGATGGGATACGGGATGTGAGGGTGGAAAGGACAACTTAGAGAAGACAGTAAGAACCAGATTACAGATACAGAAGAAATTGTATACTGTGTAATTTCAGTTTGCTTGGGCTACCATAACAAGATACCATAGGATGGATGGCTTGAACAACAGAAATATATTTTCTCTCAGTTTCAGAAACTAGAAAGTTTAAGACCAAAGTTCTAGCCAGTTTGGTTTTGGGTGAGGCCTCTTTTCCTGGCATGTGCTCAGAAGATGTTTCCTCTTTGAGTGCTCTGGGTGCACAGGAGAGTTTGAGAAAGACTGAGCTCTGGTGTCACTTAATGACACCAATCCTATCTGATCAGAGACCTACCCTTATGACCTCATTTAACCCAATTTACCTTTTTATGGGTCCCATCTCCTGATACAGTGGTGTTAGGGTTTAGGAATTCAATTTAGGAATTTAGGGAGGACACAATTCAGTCCATAGCACCATGGCAAGCAGTATATATTATAAACTAAATGCAATGAGAACCAATGAAAA